TGGTTTAACTCATGCTGGTTTGGTTTTGGGCATATCGTTTTTTGCTAGGAAATTGTCCATTTCTTCCAGATTCTCAAACTTATTATCATAAAGGTTTGAGAAATATTCCATTACAATGTTCTGAATCTTGGTGGTTTCTGTGGTGATGCTTTCATTCTCATCTCTGAGTTTGTTTATGTGGGTGTGTTCTTTTTCTGATAAGATTTCTCAGGGTCTGTCAATTTTTTAACTTTTTTGAGGAACCAACTCATTGTTTTGTTGATTTTTTCTATGTTTTTTTTTGGATTCTAATTAGTTTAATTTGATTTAATTTTAATTATTTCTTCCTGTCTACTGGATTGGGGTTTATCTTGCTGCTCTTTTTCAAGGAAGTTAAGATGTCTCATTAAATTGTTGGTTTCAGATGTCTCCAATTTGTTGATGTAGGAACTCAGAGCTATAAACTTGCCTATGAGTGCTGCTGTGTCCAGAGGAGTTGGTAATTTGTGGGTTCATTTTTGTTGAATATCATGAACATTTGAATTTCCTTTCTAATCTATTCCATGATCCAATGGTGATTCAACAGTGTGTTGTTCAGCCTCGATGTGTTATAGGACCTTCTTTGGTGGCTTTTGGTGTTGACTTGTAATTTTAATTCCCTTGTCTGAGAGCATGCAGGCCATAACTTCAATGTTTCTGAATTTGGATCAGTTTGCTTTTTGACCTAAAATGTAGTGTATTTTGAAAAATGTTCTGTGTGTTGCTGAGAAGAACGTTTAATCTGATGCTGCAGGGTGAAATATTCGTAGATATATGTTAAATCTAGTTGATCTATGCAGCTGTTTAGATTTGCGGTTTCATTTTTGAGTTTTTGCTGAGTTGATCTAACTAGTGAGGATAGTGGTGTGTTAAAGACTTCAACACTTAATGCCTTTGGATCTATGTGAGATTTGAGGGAAGGAAGTGTTTCTTGGATAAATTAGGGTGCTCTATTGTTTGGTGAATAGATATTTAGAATTGTGATATCTTCCTGAAGGAGAGATCCCTTAATTAGTATGTAGTGATCTACTTTTTCTCTTCTCACTAATTTAATTTGAAGTCTATTTTATGTGATATTAGGATTGCAACTCCCGCATGTGTATGGAATCCTTTTCTTGGTAGATTTTATTCCAGCCTTTCACTTTCATAATATGTTTGTTTTAATTGGGAAGGTGTGACATCTGAAAGCAGTATAGAGAAGGATCTTGCTTTTTAATCCAACTCGGCAGTCTATGTTGCTTAATTGTAGAGGTAAGTCTGTTAATGGTGAGAGTTAGGACTGAGAACTGTTTGGTAGTTCCTGCCATGTTATCCACCTTCTTAGGTGCTGTGACAACTTGGTTCTTCACATGGTTCTTGGATTCTCAGTTTGGGTGAAGTTTCTTGGCCTTTATTGTGGTCTTGTTGGTTTTCTATATGTAGGACATCTTTAAGTATCTTTTGTAGGGCTGGTTTGGTGGGGATCTGTTGTTTGAGTTTTTCTTTGCTATGGAAGGTTTTCATTTGACCTTCATTATGAAGGAGAGTTTAGCTGGGTACAGTATTCTTGGTTGATAGTTGTTTGTCTCTAGGTTGTGGTATACATCATTCTAGCCTCTTCTTGCTTTAATTGTCTCTGCTGAGAAATCTGAGGTGATTCAAATTGGTTTCCCTTTGTTTGTGATTGATCTATTCACCTTGACAGCTTTAAGAATCCTTTCCTTGAGCTGAATTGATCCTGTGCAGATTATAATGTGATGGTGGGATGTCCTGTTCAAGTCTCGTGTATTTGGGGATCTAAAAGCTTCTTGTATCTGAACAGGCCTACCTTTTTGTGTATTTGTGAAGTTCCCTGATGGGATACTGTTAAATAAATTTCCTAGACCATTAACTTCTGTCTCTAGTTGCTCCTCTACATCTATTATTCTCAGATTAAGACTTCCGATGGTGTCTACCAAATACTGAATCGATGTATCACATTTCGTGGATTTGTCTTGGATAATTGTATGCTCTCTCTCTATAATATCTTGGCTGTCTCCAATCTCTGAGATTCCATCTTCTGTATGGTCTAACCTACTGTCAAGACTTTCTACTTTTTATTTATTTCATTCCTTCTAATGGTTTGGCTTTGATGGCTTCAAATTCCTTGTTGGAGCTTTGTTTTAGATATTGTATGAACTTCTTTACTTCCTTAATTTGGTGTTCAGTGTTTATTCTCAAATCACTTAGTTGATTGGTTACAGTTTCCTTGGACTCCCATTCCTTCTGTCCAGCTCCCATTGAGCGTTCCCTTTGTGGTCTGTCTGGATTCCTTCAGCTGTCTGTTTATGGATTCCAATATACCTCTATTGATCTTTATCCATTCTTATCCTGCTCACACAATTCCTGTCTTACTCTTTGATTAGCTTCCTCATGCTCATACAATTCGTGTATTTTTCTTTGTTCTCAGCCTGCTCATGCAATTCCTGTCTTTCTCTTTGGTTGTTCTCAACCTGCCATGCAATTCCTGTAGTAATCTTTGATTAGCTTCCTCATGCTCATGAAATTCCTGTATGAAATTTTGGTTAACCTGATCATGCTCGTGAAGTTCCCATATTAATCTTTGGTTGCCCTCATCTTGCTTCCTATCATGGTCACACTGAATCCTCTACACATTTCATACCTTTCATTCACCATGTTTACCAGTAGTGTTTGTAGAGCTTTTTGGGAACTCTCTTCTGGATTTTTCATTAAATGTACTGTCACCTCATTATCATGAGTGGGAATTGAGATACCCGGACTTGCCATTTTTCTTGTCTTTCTCCGGCTTGTTCTGTCCATTTGGTAGGAAAGTAACACCAATTTTGTGCTACAACACTATTTTAAGGCAAGCATCAACCAGAGTCCTGTAGTTTCACATTAAAATGGCTGCAGATAAAATCTAGTTCAACAGATACAATCTATTCATCATCAAACAACAATGGATTAATGGGCTAAGGATATCAAAGAAGGATTCAGATGACCAGAACTTAATAGGTTTAGGGAGAATTGTGAGGAAAAATAGGATTAGAGGAATGTGGTGAGGTAAAAGGAAAGAGTGAATTTAACCAAATCCTAATCTCAGAGAGGGAATGGATAAGACTTAATGAAATGAAAGAGATAAAAAAAAAAAACAAGAAATAAGAAAAACAAACATTTAAATTTAAAAATTTAAATACTTAAAATTATAGAAGAATAAAGAAATGATAATGGTGAAGAAAGGGATAGGATGAGAGAAGGAGAGAGATAAGAAGGAAAAATGAAAAAATAAAAAATTTTAAAAATGGAATACCTAAAAATTATATTGTCATAAAGAAATAATACTAGTATTAAAGAAGTTAAGCCTATGATGTTGTGAATTAAGTAATAAATTCCTGGATTAAATATGTACACAATGAGGGAAACGGTGTAAGAACCAATGACGGGTATATATTTGGGGATCAGCAGAATAGCAATTAAACACTCAAAAAAAGAAAGAATAAAGGACTAAATGGCTAAAAGAGATTTCACATACACACACCTGAAATAAAAATTATGAAAGAAAAAAATGATAAAAAACATTTTTTTCAAAAATTTATAAATTAAGTAGAAAACAGAGTTCTTTAATTTTTTTTTGGTGGAGGGAGATCTTTTATTTCCCCGCTGTCTGTAACCAGTCTCTTGGTGGAGTCTCTGGTCTGCTTGTGGTGCTTTGTTTTCCTATGGCTTGATTGATTTCTTAAGTTTGTTAGAGCAAGCAGAAAGAAGGTGTGCCTGCCCCAGGACTTTGTGATTCTCCTCTCATTCTAGTTGAGTGGGAGGGAGTTCTGCTTTGAGTATCAGAAAAGCTGGAGATGTCTGTTTCCTCTAACTTGGAGTTGCTGTGCTGAGGCTAGGTTCTGGGTAGGATTGAGGCCTATCAGCAATCAGTAGCTTTTCTCTGAGGGGCTAGCTCCTAAGACACACATAGAGCCCAGCCTGGAGCCATTCTCAAGGTTTATGTTTACTGAGTTTCAATTCTTTGTGTTTTACACCTTCTGCTGTCTAGGCTGCAGTTTGAGGGGCGGCCTCTGCCTCTGTTTACCCAGTGAAGAAAGTCACTCTTCCCGAAGTGTAGCTTCCTCTCTCTGAGTGGAGCTGAACCTGGCAAGTCAGGTCAGGTTCTTGTGACCTGTTGAATGGCTCCTATGGTTTTCTTTTAAGGCCTGAGTTGGAGCTAGCTGCTCTGGCAGGGCAGTTGTCATTAAAAAAGATGCAGATATTCTCCAGTGGTGGGGGAGGGCCTAACTTCCCACTGCTGCTCCATGAGAAGGATTGAGGTTATCTTGCTTCTACTCATGCCAGACTCCGTTCCTGGGCTGTCCCTGGTCTGCAAATAGCATGATGAACATTTCTGCTCCTTGTCAGTGCTTGCTGCTGGTGAATAGAAGCTGTTCACACACTGTGTCTGGCGCCTTTGTCCTGGATCGTCTCTGTTGATATGGTGGCAGTGGTAACTGCCGCCGTCATCGCCACTGCCACCCCCGCTGTGGCTACAGTCAAGTGCTCAGATCTGTCTTCTTGACCAGGCTGCCTGGATTTTTCCTCTCTGACCAAACTCTCTGTAATGTGATGGCACTTTTGGTATGATTCTCTAGCCTAGGACTGTTCACTGGAACACTAAAACTGCTTTCTATGAAAGACCTTCTTTAGCCTCCAGCATCTCCTCAGCCATCTTACTCCAGAGTGATATTTTGGATTTGTACTATTGAAAAGTTGAGAGCTTATATCATACAAAGTGAGCATGAGGACAGGAGTCAGAGCAATTCCTGACCACAGATGCTGTGTTCTTCAAGTCACGTCATGGAGAGCATGACGTGGTAAGTGTATCTTGTATTTTCCCTAAAGGCGGCAGACTACCTAATTCCATCTGCTATGAAAGATTCTAGAAAGTCACTGTGCCTGGAATATATCACCTAAAATAAAAGTCATTACTTGTGAGGACAGAAATGCCCTTGGTTGCTCACTTTGTGCTGGTGGCTCTTCCCTGTGATGAAGAAGCACCTCGTGGAGGGCGTGGGCCACAGCATACATGGTGGTGTAGATATTGTAACTTTCTTGTGACACGACCATATCAAAAGTGTGTCCCTGCAACCAAGCCACAGTGGCATTGGATGAAGACTGCCCCAATTTTCTATAATCAGACTTAATCAGTATGCAATGAACAGCCCAAATCCATAACCTAGGAAGTGAAATATCTCATGAGTCCTTGGAATAGTTATCTCTTGGGACAAAATTGGTGAACCCAGAAATGTCTGTATGGTGGTGAGAGAAGATGAGAGGTGTGTGGAAGGAGTCTAGCAGGAAGTATCTTTTGCTAAGGGTCAATGTCATCATAGGGTGGGCTCATGACCCAGACTTTCTCTGTAATTAAAAAATCCCCAATTTAAGAATAGAGCTTAGTAGCAATTCAGTTTCTCCGTAAATGATTATCACATTGGTTGAGGATTCCATGATCTGGCGGTATCTTGGTTGATCAGTTGATAAATCTGATGGGCTGTTTGTCAGGATCATATTCTCAAAGGCAAGACAGACTCCATTCTTGTCCATCTCCTCTCTCAATTCTGAGAGGAACCACACACCATAGTTGTCGTTGATTATGAGCAGTCCCACCCAGGTCCAGCCAAATTGAAGCATCAAGGAGACTATGACCAGGGCTAGAGCTGAGTACTTGGCAGCTATCTGATTGACAGCACCGAACTGTCCATGGTCACTCAGGAGAGGATCAAAAGATCCATAGGGTAACTAAAGGGGGAAAATAATCACAACAGCAGGAAGAGGATGGTCATTGTCAGGGTCACAGTCCTGATGAGCAGCCAACAACCGCTTGCAGTGGTGGGAGTGAAGGTTTGCTTATCCCACTTATTTTTGGTTAGTTGTGGGGCTTGAACTCTGGGCCTGGGCACTGTCCCTCAGCTCTTAAGCTCAAGGGAAGCGCTCTACCACTTGAGCTACAGCACCATGTCCAGTTTTCTAGTGGTTTCTTTGAGATAGGAGTCTCACAGTCTTTCCTGCCCTGGCTGGCTTTGAACCGCGATCCTCAGATCTCAGCCTCCTGAGTAGCTAGGATTACAGGCATGAGCCACCAGTGCTTGGCTTGCTTATCCCACTTGTAATATGATCTCTCATGCTCCAAGATTTTGGTAAAATTATATGAATCAGAATCAGAGCCTGGGCTCATTCTTTGCTCTCTTATAAACTCTCCCTTGATCTCTTCCAACAAAGATAATGTGGATGCCATACCCAATGTGGGGATTTTTTTCCTTTGAGGCCATTCAGTATGTGAGGCTTATAATACCACCTTTTTTCTCCACTTCTTCAAACTATTGAGGACAGGTTCAAGGTGGACTTAGCTTCACATCTGCCCTCCCCTTCCATACTCACCTGTGGAAGCTTGCAGAGGTCCTGAAGTGTCAAGATTGGGACAGATGTGCTTGAAGTTCCTGTGAGTACTGCTAAAACTTTGCTGTCTCTCCTGAAGGTGCAATTAGGGCTGTTTTTATTTTTCCCAAACAGCAAGGTCAATGGATTCTCTAACACATCAGTTTCTACATAATGTGAAATATAGATCTCAAACTCCAGGGTCATGTTGGGTAGCAGATGGGGATTGTGTTGATTTCCTGAATGGCGAGGGCCAGGGACTGAACTAATTGGCATTTGCTTAGTTGAACCTGCACAGATGTCACAGAGATTCAGGTATGTAAACATGTATTACTAAGGATTAAGTTGAAATCTCAATACTTTGTTGAATTGAATGGTTTTCTGTACACAAAGTAATATGTTTGGACCCTGTCTTCAAAGAGGATGGAATTAGAATTTGGGTCATTAGGAAGATAATGAAAATTGGGAGAGTTCCTGAACCAGGATTTGATCAATAAACATTAGATTGCTGTTCTGAGATAGAGAGGGAGTGAGCTGGCTTTTCCTGTCTGTCATTTGTTGATACATGAGAAGCACTGATATCTGGGCCATAGAGCTTGTCTAGTTCCCACAAGTCATTGAGTACCTTGAGGTAGGACTGTGTATGAAATATATGAAGATTAGGTCTGTATCTGAAGTAAATGAAGTAATTTTTGAGATACTAGTTGGCAAAAACAGCAATTAGAGTCGGGTGCCAGTGGCTCATGCCTGTAATTCTAGGTAGTCAGGAGGCTGCGATCTAAGGATCACGGTTCAAAGTCAGCTGGAGCAGAAAAACCCACCAGGCTCTAATCTCCAATAAACCACTAGAGAACTGGAAGTGGTGCTGTGGGTCAAGTGGTAAAGTGCTTGAGTTGAGCTGAAGAGTACAAGGACAGTGCTCCGGACCAGAGTTTAAGCTCCACTACGGACAATAATAATAAAAATTATAATTATAATTATATTTATAATAATATCATCATCATTATCATCATCACCAATAAGGACATTATCTGAGGAAAAAGACAGTCTCCTGGAACAAAATGTGTGTCCTGGTGGGGAGGGATCCTGGGGATGAGTGATCATCCCGATGCCAGTGGAAAACTTTATCCATAAGAGGGATGGTGTCAGATCCTAAAGGGAGTCACTTTGTGCTTGTCCTTTCAAAACTAAGCACAGCTGGGAGGTCAAAACAAACTAGTTGAAAAGTATGTCTATTTGATGCCCATATCTGCTTTCCTTCTAACTGGGCAGGAATTTATATGTATTACCTATTATTTTTATATAAGGTAAGTTTTTGTTTTTAAGGCTATGGTTGTGAAATTGGGGATAGCTTAAAATTATCCAAAAGGGCAGCCTCTACTCTCTGCTCAAGGCTATGATTGGAAGTAAATTTTTGATATGGAAGCAGATACATATATTCAGCTGGTCTGATAAAGAGTGTAAGGCTGTAGTGTTAGTAAATCAAAAGCCTCTTCTCACAAGCCCCAAATAGGACATCTGGCCATTTGGCTCTAATAGAGCTCACACAGAGATGTAAAGCAGTATTCATATACATTCTAAATATTCTTTCTTGGTATTGTAAAACCCCAATTAATCATGGATCTAAGATCTTGTCCCCATTGAAAGATGTCTGGGAAGCTTCACAGAAAGCTGATATGCACTGTAATGGTCACCACAGTTGAGGTTCTCCAGTCAACCAGGGACATGCTTTTGCACACCAGAGTGCTAAGCAGGCTGTAGTGCTCTGTTTTAGGAAAATGGCTTGACTACCAGCACACCTATGTTTATAGAAGCATTATTCACCACAGCTAAGATATGGAACCTATCCAGATGCCCCTCAGTAGGAGAATGGATCAAGAAAATGTGACACACACACACACACACACACGCACACACACTCACATGCACACACACACACACACACACACACACACACACACACACACACACACACAGACTCACTGGAATTCTATGCCTCCAACAGGAAGAACGAAGCTGCCCAATTTGCTAGAAAATGGAAAGACTTGGAAAAAATCATATTAAGTAAAGTATGCCAGACCCAAAGAAATATAGGTCCCATGGTTTCCCTTAATTGTAATTTTGGTATATGTCTAGGCTAATCTTATCAGATGATCTGAAAAGCTCAAAAGTTATGTACATATGACCATATAAAATGATGCTCATCAAAATGAACCCCAAGGTACAGACACATGAGGTTTTTCTTTATTGTTTTTAATGTACTATGTGACATTTTGTTTCTTATGTTTGTTCTTTCTCTTATGGCATATCCCTGTTGTCACTGTATTTGATTTAGGTACCTTGAATCTTGTATATACATTTATCTAATTTGGGGAGGGGAAGTGGGAATAACAAAACTCTGAAAGAAGGACACAGGATGACCCATTGCAACAATGATATTCACAAGAAACTATGTTGGAAATGCACTTTATGTAATTGGGGGAGAGAGGAGTGAGGGAGGTGGGAGAGGGAAGGGATGGTAGGAGAAAAAGGATGGGTAACAATGTTGGACTAGAAATGTACTCATTACCTTACTGATGTCACTGTAACCCCTCTGTACAGCATCTTTACAATAAAATAAAAAGTTTTAAGAAGAACTCCCACCCAAGAATGGCTTGGATCCCTTCTATGCTCAAATTTCTTCAGATCAATTTTTACCTAAATGGAAGTGACCCTGTTCAGTTCTTCTCAGTATTCCCACAGCTGTGAAATTGTCTGTTGTTACCTCTTGGATACACATTTCTAGAATAAAAATTTTATATCTTTATCCCCAATCTCAGGTTTCAGATTCATGTAGACACGAGGTCTCACAGGGCTTCTCTACCTGTAAACCTCTAAAAAACTTGAGATTCTTCTTCAAGATTAATAAAAGGAGAGTTAACCACATTGCCTGAATGGTATGATCAAGTTTCCAATTTTAAATTTCTGTGGACTCAATTATAAATAGCATTCTTTAGTCTCAGAACAATTGTTAAAGCTCCTTCATTAAGCTTAGGATGTATAAGAAGTCATCTTTTCTAATGACTATTTCCTGGGCTGAATTGGAACGTAACCCATTTTGACGGTGGGCCCAATTTTCTACAAGGGAGGTTATTTCTGGCTAACTTCCACTCTTGGGCAATTGAGCTCAAAGACTTCTCTCTTCTGGAAATAGCATTCTCATACTTATTGTAAATGGGATGGGAAAAACTCTCCTACAGAACAGGAAGACTTTAGCTTTCATTCCTGCAGCCCAAGGAGGAACCGGCAGAACTGTAAAGGTTAAATGCTGTGTGTATATTCCAGACAACTCAAATATCTCCCCAGCCCCTCTGGTTCTACACATTCAAATTGATACTAAGTCTGACTCTGCTCTTAGTTTTAACCAATGCCTTGCTTAATGGTTCTCTGGAACGACTTGTTGGGAAATTTGTTATTTATCTTTATGGCATTAATAGGTAGGGGTGTATTGATCTACACCCCTACACCTTATATAGCTTCTGAGGATTATTACGCTTAAAAATTTCTTGTCTGACTTCTTTTCCAGTTTTTGGTTAAAGAATGCTCCTAATGTTGTCCCAAACTGACAATTCAACAACAGAACTTCCCATGTCACCCATTGATAAGATAGGACAAGACTTCAAATATCAATGTCCCTGCTCAGCCTCATGCCGTGACAGAAACAGATCTTCACCAATCATTGTCCTTTAAGATTAAGGGACCAAAGTTATTTGAGGGGAGTGAGGCAGGATAACCTCGGAAAACTGTGGCAGGGTAAATAATTGACAGTAATTTAAAAAGCTAGCAGCTAGTACAGAAGATTTTTACCCATCTACATCTTTTATGATTAAGGGAACAAAGTCATTTCAGGGGAAAATGAAAGATAATCCAGGGAAAATGGGGCATGGGAAATGATTACCAGACATGACCAAAAATACCTCAAGCTTAAAAGTAATCCATCCACTTCCTTTAATATTAAGGTAAGAAAGTCATTTTAGGGGAAAACGAAGCAGGAGAAATTGAGGAAACATGGTACATAGAAATACAGAAGCACTATCTTTGCTTCAAAGAGAGGCCACAGGGTGCATTCCTTCCAGTGAGGTGCATATCTTACCCCAAGAATTAATATTTGTCTGGCAGGAAATATATCTACCTGAGAAAATGCTCCCTCAAAACGTAAGCAACATTACTCCTTTCTTTCTTTTTTTTCATTGTAATGGCTTCCTTTCTTTTTCTTTTCTTTCCTTTTGGTGAAAATATCATACAGGGGGTTTACAATTACATAGGTAAGATAATGAGTACATTTACAATTACATAGGTAAGATAATGAGTACATTTCGTATCAAGAATTGTAGCCTCCTCCTTTGCTTCCCCTTCCCATCCCTTCCTATGTCCCACCTCCCCCCGTACCCACCCCTCCCCTGGGAATGTTGCAAAGTTTGTTTTTCTTTTTCTTTTTCTTTTTTTTTTATTGTGAAAATAATGTACAGAGTGTTTACAATTACCTGGGCAAGAGAATGATTACAATTATTTTCAAGCATTGTAGCCTGTCTCTTCCTTTGTTACCCCTCCCCATCCCTTGCCATCCTCCCCCTCTCCCCTGCCCAACCCTTCCCCCTCCATTAAAGTTGTAAAGTTCGTTTTTGACATAGCGACATGTACATCTCATTGTTGCAATGGGTCCACCTGTATCCCTATTTAAACGATTTGTTTTTTCCCTTCCCCTCCACAAATTATACCAACATGAAATACAGTGAAAGCAGGGGTTAAACTGTGGGGGAGGGACATACAAAGCAACACAGAAACAATCTTATAAATATGTAAGAAACAATTGCATGAAAGCAAAAACATTTGAACATTATCTTGGGGTTCATTTCACCTAACATAATCTTATCTGACCTTTCTGCTTGTCTCAGACATATATTAGTTATTGCAAATAAGGTAAACCATGGAACCTGTTTCTTTGGAACTGGCTTACCTCACTTAATATAATTTTTTCCAAGTCTTTCCATTTCCTAACAAATGGGGCAATGTTATTCTTTCTGATGGAGGCTTAGAATTCCATTGTGTATATATACCACATTATCTTGATCCATTCAGCAACTGAGGAGCATGTTGGTTGGTTCCATGTCTTAGCTATGGTAAATAATGCTGCAGTAAACATAGTTGTACTGGTAACTTTAGTATGG